AATGTTGAAGTGAGATGAATATTAACGAGTATTAATAAGAATGAATCGATGAGTATGAATTGATTTATGAGAAGAGAAAAGAGTAAGCATATTTATATGAATAGTGATTTAGCGGGGAAAATGTCTCAAATTATAAAATAATATTTTTATTCCACGTTTACTAACGGTCGTCCGTGATTTTTCATTGTGATATTATTAATTTTAAACTTTATTATTATTATTAATTTTATACTTTATTATTTATTATTAATTTTAAACTTTATTATTTTGGAAATTTCGCAATAATTATAATTATATTATGTAACCCAATTTTGAGGAAATGGTGTTTGAAATACTTTGAGAAATATAATCAACTGGTAAAGTAGAAATCGAAGCCTCGAGAATTTTTTGTGAAAGGAGCGAGCTTGCATTAATTAAAATAGGTTGAAATGCTTGTTTGGGAACCTTTTGTTTTAAGAAAGGGTGCAAAAGGGTAAATTGTAATTTTTTATCATAAGCAAAAAAAGACTTTTATGTAAAATAAACCTTTTTTCATCACGGGAGTTAGTCTCCGTGAGATAAACCAGCTCTTTTGTTTTATGAACAAATGTTAAAAAAACTTTTTTTTTTTTTTTAAGAATATCGAAAAAAAGAGTTTCTATTCGAACAAGAATTATTCCAACTTGAAATTCTGAAACTGTTTTTTAAACTCCAAAATCATTATGAAACTTTGAAATCAGTTCAAAATTACAAAACTTTAACAAAAGTAAAATGTGCTTCATATGAGAAAAGGTATAAATTTTATTTAAATTTTATCGCGCTATGACCCTAAACTCTGAGTTTAGGGAAAACCTGAAACCGAAACCTCCCTAAAATTTGTTTAGGGAATTTTTAAAACGTAAACCTACACTTAAAATAATTTTATACCGAAACACAAAAAATCACCAAAACCTAAACCCTAACCCGAAACCTAAATTTTACCAAACTCTTACTGAAACTAATTTTATACCAAAACACAAAACTATTTTTTACAATAATTTGTTTTTATTGCAAAATATTACCAATTGATTTTATTACAAGAATTTTCTTAGATGAATTTAAAATTTTAAAATTCTTTTTTAATTCTTTTCCTTAATGTAAATTTTTTCTTTGGTGTATTTTTAGATTTTTTTTTTTTATCTTCATTTATTTCAATATCATCATCATTATCTGAAATTTCATCATTACCTTCCATATAAAATCAATGTTATTTTCAACCCCCATTCTATTAATATTACTAATTTTTTCCCCGCCATCATTAATTTCTTCAGAACTTTGAATTTCATCATCATTATTATTTTCATTGCAATTTCTGTCTTCATTATTAAAACCTAAATTATATGAATCATAATCCTAATCTTCCTCATCAGTATCACATTTATAATTAATTATTTTTTTTCTTTTTGCAGTATTAATACCGTTTTCACATACCACTTCAAAAAAACTGGAAACCAAATCATTGGGGGTTATATTCATAATTTTTATTATGTTGTAAATTCTCTACACTTATATCAATTTCATTTTCGTTACTACCTTTATAATTAAATAAAGAATTATTTAAATCTAGGTAGTCTACTATTAGAAAATCAATATCTCTATTATGGTTATCATAGTATTCGTAATTGTCAAGATCAATATCTGATTCTGTATCAATGGATTCACTATTACTTTCATTGCCCTGAACACAAATAGAAATATAAACAATTACATTTCTCAAATTTAAATAAATAATAAGCAGAATTATTGGTTTGAATTTTGAGGGTAGTTAGGTTTGAATATGGATTTAAGTTTTGGGTAAGGTTTAGGTTTTGGATATGGGTTTAGGTTTTGGTGCTGGTTTAGGTTTCGTATATGGGTTTAGGTTTTGGTGTTGATTTAGGTTTGAGTGTGGGTTTAGGTTTTGTAACCCGAATATAGAAACTGTTGAGGGAAGCCAAAAGGATTTAGGGTCACAACATTGATTCGTGTTTTTCCCGCAAACCATTGGGTTGTTATATATTAGAATAATCACAAACATAGGGGAAATGTTAGAGATTTTCGGTCATTATCATAATAGTCGAACGATTTGTCACATTACAGTCGTGTGACATGTCCTTTCAAATTATTTTCTATATTAAATAAAAAATTTCTAATTTGTGTCACATGAATTTTTTTTAAAATAGCTCGTTATTTTTATAATAAACTCGAACTTCGTTGTTAGAGTAAAATAAAA